CTCAACTTTTTTTCCCCTCTATTACTTTGTGCAGGCAAGCCTTTCGTTGATGTTTTGAAGGAAGGTGGTGTACTTCCCGGCATTAAGGTTGACGTAGGCACTGTTGAGCTTGCTGGAACCAATGGGGAAACCACAACCCAGGGTCTTGATGGTCTTGCTGGCCGCTGCCAAAAGTACTATGCAGCTGGTGCTCGCTTTGCTAAATGGCGTGCTGTGCTCAAGATCGGTGATAACGAACCATCACAGTTGGCTATCAATGAAAATGCCAACGGATTGGCTAGATATGCCATCATTTGCCAAGAGAATGGTCTTGTGCCCATTGTTGAGCCTGAGATCTTGGTTGATGGTTCTCATGACATCAACAAGTGCGCTGATGTAACAGAACGTGTTCTTGCTGCATGCTACAAGGCTCTAAATGACCACCATGTCCTCTTGGAAGGAACCTTGTTGAAGCCTAACATGGTTACTCCAGGATCTAAAGCTGCAAAGGCTGCACCAGAAGTGATCGCTGAGTACACCGTCCGTGCCCTTCAGCGTACAGTTCCTCCTGCAGTTCCTGCTGTAGTGTTCTTGTCTGGTGGACAGAGCGAAGAGGAGGCCACCGTCAATCTCAATGCCATGAACAAACTGAAGGGAAAGAAGCCATGGTCACTTTCTTTCTCCTTCGGACGTGCTCTGCAACAGAGTACCCTCAAGGCATGGGCTGGAAAGGATGAAAACATCCCCAAGGCTCAGGATGCTTTGCTCGTGAGGTGCAAGGCCAACTCTGAAGCAACTCTTGGAACTTACAAGGGTGATGCTAAGATAAGCGAGGGTGCCTCGGAGAGCCTCCACATCGATAACTACAAGTATTGATGAGTTTTGGCTGGATATTTTATTAGGGGAGAAAAGAAGAAAAAGGTTGCGGTATATTGTGTTTGGATTGATTCTCAGGCATCAGAAGAGGTAGCTAGCTCTCATTCATTCTTCTAATTCATTGCTAATATCAAGTAATGGGGTAGGCATTGGTTGGTAATAAAGCATGAGGAGCGTTGCCATGTTAGGTCTTTTTTAAACTATTTTTTTTTCACATTTCAGTTGGAACAACCGACGAATATCTTCTGTTTTGTGTTGTAATTTTGCTTTTTTCATCCGTTAATAACACCATTTTGTGGGTGGGAGTTTTATTTTGCCGCAATTTGAATTTTATAGTAATTTTTCGAGGGTACATTATTAGCAGGTTTTTTTTTATTTTTTTATTTTTTTTTTATTTTACATAGGGTAAATGTAGTGGGCATTAATATTTGATAGTAGTGACAGTAGTGACCTCATGCTGGTACAATTGATATCAGAATCTTAGTCAGCATCGAGTTTGGTGTCGAGCCTCGATGCTAAAGGCTAATTGTGAGATCTCACGGTAGTTTGCCATCAAGCAGTGTGCTTGGTGTGCCAATACAGGGACACTAAGCCCTATGAAGGTGAATTGTGTAATTTTTTGAGAGGTACATTGTTTGCATTTTTGTAGCATAATGGGTAAGAAGGTTGAAGCAAACAATATCAATATTTGATAGTGACACCAGGTATAGTTGGTATTAAAATTCGACATTGAGCGGTGAGCTCGGTGCTGGGGTAGATTGTGAGATCGCGGTGAGCTCGACATCAAACGTGTGCTCGACACCGAACGTGTGCTTGGTGTGCCAGTAAAAAAAAAAAAAAAAATTAAAGTCGGCGTGGTCTTGATTTATGCTCTAAAAATAGTATTTTGAACACACGGCTTAAAAAAGCAGTAGTTATTTATTTATTTATGGTAATTAGTTTTAAAGAAATAGAATATTAAATTGGGTTGTTGAAACTTGCGATGAGGTACATAGTTACCAAGTTTGACCATTTGAGAATTTAGGGAACATATTTATTGGGATAGCGAAATTACACTTGTGGGCCCCAATGAAGAAGGAAGAAGATGATGAGTCAGCATCCAACAAATAAAACAATGTCTCCTAAACTTCCATTCTTCAGTTGCCACATCAGAATAATTGAAATGACGTGTCAACGTAACATCATGTGGTGGACCACAAGTTTGAGAAACCAGAAGACTGGTCAAACAAATGTCTGATCTGGCATGGATGGGGTATCTCACTACAAATCCCTCGCCCATTTCAGGATTTATGTTATTTTTTAATTTGAGGACCTAAGGTGCCTATTTGTGCCTATAAATTAGGCCCTTCCTCTAACCGTCCAAAGCCCACCGCTGATAGATATTGCTTAGGCTCTTGGTCCATTACGTTTTTGTCAAGTTCATCCCTAATAAATATGATCGTAGGCCCATTACGTATCGCCTCATAGTTTAAATTAGAAGTGTTCATATAATTCGAGAATTTAACAACCTAGACTAATTCATCGAAAATTTGAGCTATAGCCAACTTGAAAATAGAATTTTAATATTATATTTGAGTTTTATCAGATGTAGTTATTAATGTAGTTTCATCGAATTTTACTTATTAATGTAACATATATGGTAAATAAGTGTAACGCCCGCTCATCGTCAACGCGATTAACAGGGGTTACCATCATCAACGACAATATATTCTAATACCCAATCATAATCTCAAAATGATTAAAAAAAAACATTCAGTAAAACATTTAAAACAATGCTATTTAAATTTAAACCAACCGAAGTAAATTCTTGACAGCGAAAACATAATTATACAAAACAGACCCAGACATGGATTCCCAGTAGTCTTCAGCCTGCATCATCTAAATCTGGAAAGAAAAGTTATAATAATTTTGATGAGTAATTAGATTACTCAGTAAGTAGCTAGCTTATCACTCAAGAGTTCATAACTAATCTTTCCAGGTGTTTTTAGGTTTTATTCATCATTGACTCCTAGTTCTCTTACTAGGGTCATCTGTTCGTTAATGAGGTATCTCAGCTACCTCCAGCTAGGTTACTGACTCTCTCTCGATATGCTTATCTAGAATTTTCGGACTCGTATGTAAGACTCGCTCTCGGTCAAATACGGCCCGTCTACTAATTGCTCTGGCGGCCTGTTTATCTCATATACCAACGGTCAGGAGTACTCATGCTCCCTGACTTAGCACACAGCGCGTTGGCCAGGAACTCCGCGGGAATTAGTAGACTATCATACTCAGTAAATAAGCCATAGCTCAACCACCAATAAGCATATCTAGAGTCATAACCTTTCCATTAACATGCATAACATACTCACAGTTACTGCATGCTTTCATACATGTATCATGATCAATACGTAGCATTCTGACAATCGTTTATATCATGCTTACATCACAGGCAAGCAGTCACAATATACAATAAACACGAACTATCATCGAAGCTCATCATAACTTATTAAGCTCTTAATCAGGTAAACAACATACTCACATGTTGTAAAACAAGTTAAGAACTAGTTCAAAGGTCGATACGCTACTTACTTGGTTTCGAACCCCTTTTTCCTCCTTGAACGTACGTTTAATAGTACTTCAACACAATTCCTTCCTATTAGACCTATATTTTATCAATTTCAACATAAATATAGATCAATTTTGGTAGGACAGGTCAAAAGGAGTCGAACGGGACAAACCGGGAGCCGAAATACCTTCTCACGCGCCCTCACGCGCCAATACAAGGTCGGAGGTTTGCTTTCTCACGCGCCGATCCGCGTACAGTCGCACCTCCACTCGCAGCCTTCCCACGCGCCTCGCGTGTCCTTCACGCGCTCGTCTTCAACCTCTCCTCCCTGCAATTTTTCCCAATCTTTTCTG